TCCCAAAGAAATTATTATCACCATTCCCAGAATGCAAGACAGTAGGATTACACAGTGCCCAATAATTCTGCACTTCATAAGTGATAATGCATTTAGAATACAGAAAAAGATTGTAGGGAGGAGTGGTGTGCTTTTAGCTCTTTAAGAGAGCTGTTAGCAAACAAAACTGCTGCTTTCAGCAAACTCTCTTTACAAAGCAGTTTATGAGGATCAATTTGCAAAGCTCAAAATGATCATATTAAAAAATACAATCCTGAAAAGTGGGCCTGGAAGGCAGCAAAGAATCTTCCTTTACAACATGGACGCTAATAAAAGAAACCTAAAATTGCCTATTGTCATAGCTTTAATATTAACACTGGCTGCTTTGGCAAGCTTTAAAGACTGGACTGTACTATAAAACCTAAAAATGTCCTGGACTTGGAGTTGTTTACACAAAATATGAGGAGATATAAAGTTACAGAGCTGGGGGTTGGAAGAGATGGCTTTAAAACCGTCCTCCGTGCACTGACGTCACGTGGAAGCCAGCTGCTGGGATGATGCTGAACGGAACTGTTTTTCAGTTTGCAAAAGTTGTGGAGTTATTCAAAGAGAGTTGCAAATGCTGCCCCAATTGAAAGGTTGTCTCTTGCTTTGTGTTCTTATTTCTTTTAAAGATCAAGATTCGCAGAACTGGATCCCAGCTAGCTATGCATTTCATTGCTTTCACTGCTGTTTAGAAATGGACTGAAAAACTTCTAAAGGATTCCATGAAAGGTATGGTTACAGTTTATTTTAAAGCAGTGGGTTTGAACAGCTAAGATTAAAAAAGATAGCAAATTACTAATGTAGCAAACAGTTGTTTTAACATCTCTTTAATGTTATTTATATGCAATGTGGTGTTCATGCATGTTATATGTGGTCTTTATTCTTAGAGAAAGGCTCTTCATTAGTTCAGTCAGTTTCTTCAGAGCAGGCACAGAGATCAATAGAACAGGGATGACAGGTAGCTTTGTGAGCACTTGAGTCTCTCTTTCTTTCTTTCTTTCTCTCTTTCTCTTTCTCTTTCTTTCTCTCTGTCTTTCTGCCTCTCTTTCTCC